GAACTTTTTATTACCAAAAAATTCTATGCAACAAAGTATATATACAATGCTCCATAATACATTGTAATCGTATATACACATGGAAAGAAAGAAACAAACAAAATGTGTTCGAATTCCTATATGTTGAAAAACCTTATCCCTACAATTTTAAGAAAAATGCAAAGGATCATGTCTTCAAGCTACTCCAACGTCTTCAAACTACTCCTTGAGCAACTTCATTTTCCCGTTGTACTTTTCCTTGCTATTAAAAAAACAAAGAACATTAACATATGCATCCAAAGTCAAATACTGAAGGAAATCATATAAAAGGGGAAGGACAGTTAAAACTATATAGAATTGTGGGAAGTGATTGTCCTTCAAGAAAGATAGCATATACACTGAATTTGCATTGTATGCCTAGTGAACAACATAATCAGTTATGCAAATCTAATCTGTCAGAAGGAACATTGATAACATATTCCTTCTTAGTGTTTAAAACCTTACATATTGAATCCAAATCTTTCCCTCAACCAACCATATTAGCTTCAGACATAGCAACATCTACCATTTTGTGTACTTACCTTTACAATATACAAAAAGATCTACCATTTTGTGTACATGATAGTTAACAACGTTTACTTGAGACAAGACCTAGGGAACTAAATTAATCTATTATAAATTGGGCAATCATAAGAGTTAAGGGCTGATATAATATTACAGGTGAAATTACCATTCAAGAAAGTAACACAAGTGGTGTATAGCTAATCACATACATCCAGTTTTTTCCCTCAATCTAACCAGGTTAGCTTCACGCATTAGCAAGGCAAAGATGTACATTTATTTTGGGTTTTTATGGAAGTCTAAACCTTCTAAATCTCCAACCTGTATGGCCTTTTATTTCTTTCTTGCTTTTTCTTTAAAGTTTTAATTTACATTTGACAAGCATTATTACTAATTTTACTATTTGAGATTCAACAAGAGACTTCAAATATGTAGGCTTAAGTTTGTCAAACTATCTTGGAAAGGCCAAATTTTTCAAGTGTCATATATAAATGAATTCGCTCTTCATTACCAACCTACAGTCCTACACTATGAAACAAATGAAAATTTATCTTCCTGAAAGAACTGCAAACTTCACCTTAAGATCTTGAAAACTACAGAGAGCATTAATTAAGGGGCACATTCTTATTATGAATAAAAAAAAAGAGAAGAGAAAGAAAAACAAGGCAGAGAAGAAAATTGAAACAACAAATATATATTCCATGCTTAAGAATCCACATAACAGTATAATAGTCCATTACTCACATAATATTGCTTAAAGAAGGGATAAATATATGAATTCACCCTAAGAAACCACAAAAAGAGATTAGAACTAAATCCCTTTTATTTTCTTTGTTTGGTGCAAGGTGCCTACTACAATTACCTTGACCGTAATGATAGCATGATCAGGGACATGTAGCAAATTGGAATGAATAAATATAGATGAAACATAATATGAACATTAAGAGAAACTTTCCGGTAACTTTTATAGAAGTAAAGAATATGAATATAATAATTGCAAACCAAAGTTCAAACAGAAAGCTTACTCTTTGCTCTTCCTTCTCCAAGGGAAAAGAGAGATTTCATGAATCAGATCAGACTAGGCCAATAACCACCAAAATCATACCTATTAATAGGAAAAAAGAATTGAAGCTTTCAGTGAAAATATCATTAGCTATGGAAGGAAAGCAAATCAGAGACCAAAAGATAAAGGGAATAAGAAACCAAAATCTCCTAATATCCATTCCAGATGCTAAAAATTATGTAATAGAGATCATTTTTTCGACGCAGTTTACCACTTCTCTGAATGAAGAAATTGGGGGTAAAGCGGAATACTATCAAAACCTATGGTGAGTTTAGCCAGGTCATGCCGAAAACTATCCATCTGCAGGAGAAAAGAGCACATACTGGAGTATAATACGCCTCCAGCAAATATATGATTTGAGCAATCCTTGCCAAACCATTCTAACATCAGTAAATCATCAAAGATCCAAATTTAAAAACATCTCATGGGAGGCCATAATTTGCCCTCTTAAGCTACTGAAATTACTCTATAACAGAACCCACAGTAGTGACCTAGGCATGTGCACTTGAATGTAACAGAACATGAAGATTTTCCCTTAACGAAAATTTATAATAAATTATCCAAACAAAAAAGAACAAGCTAAGGCTATCACAGTAATCTTAACAAATTTTAAAATAAAGAAAGAACATTTGAAGACTTCACAAAAAAACTCAAGACCATTCCAAACCACAAAATCAACTCTCAACATGAGCAATTTTCCTTAACGAAAAAACAATAATAAAATAGAAAATAAAAATTCAAAAACAGAACTTCAGCATCTTACTAAATCTCAAAGGAAATGAGAGAAAACAACACAGGGTGACTTCGTCGTACTCACAAACTAAATCGTCTGCTTCCGTTTCTTCTTTCATCTTCAACTCTAGATATAAATGGTTGAGCGATTTAGAGAGAGAGAGAGAGGAGGAGGGGGAGGGAAAGGGGTGAGGTTTGATTAAGGAGGAGAAGGGAGTCACTTGGTTTTGTTCCTGCTTTCACAGGTTCGCTGCTCGATTAGGGTTTTGAGTTTGAGACAAAGGGGATTAGGTAAGAAAATAAACAAAAGACGGGGTGTAATTAATTTTTGTTTATTTTTTAACTTTAAAGAAAAGAAATAGAGGCGACTTGGTCGCTGCAACAGGACTATTGAACAACTTTTAAAAAAGTCGCCACAAATGTGCTCTAAGCGAAAATAAAATTTTGCGAGTACGCGGGAATGGAAAAAAATTGTGCTTATTTGTAGCGACATAATTACAGTCGCCACTAAAACTTCAATTTCTGCTGCGACAAAAAGAGTCGCCACTAAAGCTGTCACTTTTGTAGCAATTAAACTAGTCGCCACAAGGTCGTCGCTAAAACCCTAATTTCTTGTAGTGTTCAAACAATATGGTATTGTGAACCAAGTGCATCCAATACCCTTTATAGTGAAAGAAATTAGCTAACAAAAAAATTGGCTCTATTAAACTTAGTTCTAACTCTAGGCATCAGGTCTTGTCCAACTGAAAAGGTATTTTAGCTCTTTTAGGAAGTTGTTGGAAGGTAAAGAAATATGATTCTACATTAGATGTGGATGCTAGTTTAGTTTGCTTCTATGTAGCAATGCAATATGTTGACATTTTCTTCTCTATCATCTAAGAGGTACTTTCAATTATGTTATTCATTTTCTAATTTGTAACGATCCGACTGGTCGTTTTGCCTATTAGAACCCAGTTCCCTTAAATAACACTTCCCGCGCTTGCATTAGCTAATTTATAACTTGCGGGGACAGTTGGTTCGGGAGTTGGCAGAGTTTTGAGTAAAAATATGTCCAATTGTTTCTTTAAGACTCTCTTAAAAGACCAAGTTTGACTTCGGCCAACTTTTTGGAAAAATGGACCCGAATCGGGATTTGATGGTCCGGGAGGGTCTGTGGAAAAATACGGGACATGGGCGTATGCCCGGAATCGAATTCTGAATTTCCTAGCCCGAGTAATGAATTTTTATTGGAAATTGTTAAATTGAAGTTTTAAAAAATTATAGAAACTAAGAAATCATTGATTTTCTACGTACCAGGCTCGAATTTTGGTTCTGAAGCTTGGTACAGGTCCGAAATATCAGTTAAGACTTGCACGAAAAATTTGGTGTCGTTCCGAGTAGTTTAAGGGCGTTTTGGCCCGTTGGAAGAAAATTAAGAACTTGAGGTTCAATAGTTTAATTCATTTGGTTTTAGGGGGTGATTCCAAGATTTAGCGTTGCTTTGAGTGTTCCGAGGGTTCGAGTAGGTCCGCCTCGTGATTTTAGACTTGTCGGTATGTTCGGGCGGGGCTCGGGATCCCCGAGCGTCAAACGAGCGAGGTCCTAGTGAAGTAGGAAAATTGAAGAATAGCTGAAGGTCTGCTGCTTTGTCATAACCACATCTGCGGTTCTAGGACAGCAGAAGCGGGACCGCAGATGCGGTCAGTCCATCGCAGAAGCGGCTAATGGCCAGGCCGGGAGAAACCACAGGAGCGACTCGAAAGCCGCAGAAGCGGCTCCCCAGAAGCGGACCCCAGACCGCAGAAGCGGTCCATCCATTTTCGCCCAGTTCCGCAGATGCAGTCCTCCTTTCGCAGGTGCGGGACCACAGAAGCGGTCCCCGGACCGCAGAAGCGGAAATCGCTGGGCAGTGAGTTCATTTAATTCGAACTCAAAGGCCATTTATTTCATTTCTATTCCACACTTAGGCGATTTGGGGGCTTCCAAAGAGAGGATTTCAACATAGCACTTCAAGGTAAGTTAATTCCATTCATTATTAGTTTAAATACATGTATTTTAAGTTGATTAAACACTAAAAATTAGGTGAAATCAAAGGGGTTAGAGCTAGACCTAAGGTTTAAGTAAAATCAAGATTTAACCACGAAATTTGCTATGAAATGAACTAGAATTCATATATTATTGATCCTTAGGTTATAGAGAACAACTTTCATCGAAAAATCTCGGAATCCGGGCAAGTGGGCCCGGGGTTGGAATTTAGGAAACTTGTGAAAAAGGTTGGGAAATCGCTTAAATAGTTAGAATTCGATCTTGTAGGCCTATATTGACTTGTTCTTACTTCATTTAACTAGTTTGTGATCGTTCGGCTCCGAATTAAGGACTTGGGCTTGTTCTTGATATTGGAAGTACGCTTTGGAGCGAGGTGAGTCTCCTTTCTAACCTTGTAAGAGGGAATTGTCCCCATAGAAATAANGGTGAGTCGCTGCTACAGAATGACATACGGCGACTGTAGTCGCCACTAAAAGATATTCAGTTGCGACTTTCCAATTGCCACAATAGAATCCTACTTTGTGTTGCAGCTAGGGTCGCCACTAAAGCCTCTTTTCTTTTTAAAAAATAATAATTTATTAGCCAGCTATATTCCTACTGATTACCCAACAACATTAATATTATAATGAATACCACCAAATACGCAAACAGGAACTTTTTATTACCAAAAAATTCTATGCAACAAAGTATATATACAATGCTCCATAATACATTGTAATCGTATATACACATGGAAAGAAAGAAACAAACAAAATGTGTTCGAATTCCTATATGTTGAAAAACCTTATCCCTACAATTTTAAGAAAAATGCAAAGGATCATGTCTTCAAGCTACTCCAACGTCTTCAAACTACTCCTTGAGCAACTTCATTTTCCCGTTGTACTTTTCCTTGCTATTAAAAAAACAAAGAACATTAACATATGCATCCAAAGTCAAATACTGAAGGAAATCATATAAAAGGGGAAGGACAGTTAAAACTATATAGAATTGTGGGAAGTGATTGTCCTTCAAGAAAGATAGCATATACACTGAATTTGCATTGTATGCCTAGTGAACAACATAATCAGTTATGCAAATCTAATCTGTCAGAAGGAACATTGATAACATATTCCTTCTTAGTGTTTAAAACCTTACATATTGAATCCAAATCTTTCCCTCAACCAACCATATTAGCTTCAGACATAGCAAGATCTACCATTTTGTGTACTTACCTTTACAATATACAAAAAGATCTACCATTTTGTGTACATGATAGTTAACAACGTTTACTTGAGACAAGACCTAGGGAACTAAATTAATCTATTATAAATTGGGCAATCATAAGAGTTAAGGGCTGATATAATATTACAGGTGAAATTACCATTCAAGAAAGTAACACAAGTGGTGTATAGCTAATCACATACATCCAGTTTTTTCCCTCAATCTAACCAGGTTAGCTTCACGCATTAGCAAGGCAAAGATGTACATTTATTTTGGGTTTTTATGGAAGTCTAAACCTTCTAAATCTCCAACCTGTATGGCCTTTTATTTCTTTGTTGCTTTTTCTTTAAAGTTTTAATTTACATTTGACAAGCATTATTACTAATTTTACTATTTGAGATTCAACAAGAGACTTCAAATATGTAGGCTTAAGTTTGTCAAACTATCTTGGAAAGGCCAAATTTTTCAAGTGTCATATAAATGAATTCGCTCTTCATTACCAACCTACAGTCCTACACTATGAAACAAATGAAAATTTATCTTCCTGAAAGAACTGCAAACTTCACCTTAAGATCTTGAAAACTACAGAGAGCATTAATTAAGGGGCACATTCTTATTATGAATAAAAAAAAAGAGAAGAGAAAGAAAAACAAGGCAGAGAAGAAAATTGAAACAACAAATATATATTCCATGCTTAAGAATCCACATAACAGTATAATAGTCCACTACTCACATAATATTGCTTAAAGAAGGGATAAATATATGAATTCACCCTAAGAAACCACAAAAAGAGATTAGAACTAAATCCCTTTTATTTTCTTTCTTTGGTGCAAGGTGCCTACTACAATTACCTTGACCGTAATGATAGCATGATCAGGGACATGTAGCAAATTGGAATGAATAAATATAGATGAAACATAATATGAACATTAAGAGAAACTTTCCGGTAACTTTTATAGAAGTAAAGAATATGAATATAATAATTGCAAACCAAAGTTCAAACAGAAAGCTTACTCTTTGCTCTTCCTTCTCCAAGGGAAAAGAGAGATTTCATGAATCAGATCAGACTAGGCCAATAACCACCAAAATCATACCTATTAATAGGAAAAAAGAATTGAAGCTTTCAGTGAAAATATCATTAGCTATGGAAGGAAAGCAAATCAGAGACCAAAAGATAAAGGGAATAAGAAACCAAAATCTCCTAATATCCATTCCAGATGCTAAAAATTATGTAATAGAGATCATTTTTTCGACGCAGTTTACCACTTCTCTGAATGAAGAAATTGGGGGTAAAGCGGAATACTATCAAAACCTATGGTGAGTTTAGCCAGGTCATGCCGAAAACTATCCATCTGCAGGAGAAAAGAGCACATACTGGAGTATAATACGCCTCCAGCAAATTTATGATTTGAGCAATCCTTGCCAAACCATTCTAACATCAGTAAATCATCAAAGATCCAAATTTAAAAACATCTCATGGGAGGCCATAATTTGCCCTCTTAAGCTACTGAAATTACTCTATAGCAGAACCCACAGTAATGACCTAGGCATGTGCACTTGAATGTAACAGAACATGAAGATTTTCTCTTAACGAAAATTTATAATAAATTATCCAAACAAAAAAGAACAAGCTAAGGCTATCACAGTAATCTTAACAAATTTTAAAATAAAGAAAGAACATTTGAAGACTTCACAAAAAAACTCAAGACCATTCCAAACCACAAAATCAACTCTCAACATGAGCAATTTTCCTTAACGAAAATAGAAAATAAAAATTCAAAAACAGAACTTCAGCAGCTTACTAAATCTCAAAGGAAATGAGAGAAAACAACACAGGGCGACTTCGTGGTACTCACAAACTAAATCGTCTGCTTCCGTTTCTTCTTTCATCTTCAACTCTAGATATAAATGGTTGAGCGATTTAGAGAGAGAGAGAGAGAGAGGAGGAGGGGGAGGGAAAGGGGTGAGGTTTGATTAAGGAGGAGAAGGGAGTCACTTGGTTTTGTTCCTGCTTTCACAGGTTCGCTGCTCGATTAGGGTTTTGAGTTTGAGACAAAGGGGATTAGGTAAGAAAATAAACAAAAGACGGGGTGTAATTAATTTTTGTTTATTTTTTTAACTTTAAAGAAAAGAAATAGAGGCGACTTGGTCGCTGCAACAGGACTATTGAACAACTTTGAAAAAAGTCGCCACAAATGTGCTCTAAGCGAAAATAAAATTTTTTGAGTACGCGGGAATGGAAAAAAATTGTGCTTATTTGTAGCGACTTAAGTACAGTCGCCATTAAAACTTCAATTTCTGCTGCGACAAAAAGAGTCACCACTAAAGCTATCACTTTTGTAGCAATTAAACTAGTCGCCCAGAAGGTCGTCGCTAAAACCCTGATTTTTTGTAGTGTACAGTGAAATTGAATACAATGCAAAATAGTTAAGAATGAATATAGTCGAATTGAATACAGTGTACACAGCCAAATTGAATAGAGCAGTGTACACCTTATTTCTCGATTTTTTGTTGTCTGAATGCAACTGAATCCAATACAGTAAAATTGAATACAATGTAAAATATATAAGAACGAATACATCCCAATTGAATACAGCGTATACAACCAAATTGAATACAACGGCATACATCCTATGGCTAGCAATTAGTAGCTACGGAATGTAATTAGCTAAATTATAGCTACGCCAGTAATAAGCCTCCAAACAATATTCATTTCTGAAAGTTCCCCTAAAATTAAATAGTTTGTTTTTTAATTTATATATAACAATATCAAACTGGGCGGAACTAGAAGCCCAATTACAGGTTTGACTGAACTCTATTAAACAATGCATTTGTATTAAAAAAATTATTAAATATGTACAAATATCAAATTTAGAACCCAGTTATTAACACTTGAAGTGTTCGTTCTAAAATTTAGAACTCATAAATTTGAAATCCTGGCTCCACTAGAGGTATCAAATCACCTAAAAAAAAATATCTACATACTACAAGTAACCCTTCATAAAAACCGAAATTTATAATCTTGAAAATGCATGTTTATTATTTGCTACAATAGGTAAAGATAATCTGATAAAAAAAAAATCTTTATGTTACCGATGTATATCAATTAAACTCAAAAACAAAATACTTGTCATAATAGAGACTAAACAAAGAGTAGTCCTCCTTCCTTTGTTTGTTTGGTTTCTACCGCAGAAGTTATGACTTACAAGTTACACCCTCTAGGCTTTGGAAAGAGTTAGCACCTTTTATTAACTGCGTTTCTTTTACTTCCATTCCCTGTTTCTTAAGTAGTTGGCCATTATGTAAAATTTGAGTTGTATTTGGGATATGCTTGCGTAACCTATAAATTACGATGCAAGAAGAAACTTCGTGATGAAGCACTGATAATAGAGAATGATGCAAATTCTCAGAACCACGTGGAGATGAGCAAATTGTTTTATCTTGTGGAAGTTAGTGCTTTTAAAATGCTTTCTTGATCCACATCCCTCGTCCAAAAATAGACAATGACACCATATTTTGAACGCCATTCCTTATGCTGCTTCTATGCACTCCTCTATGGTTATCCTAATTTTCTCTAATTAGTTTACTCTATTACTTTTATAACGACGGTGTTCGGATTAACTTGTACGTACCTGGACTATCGAATCGGTTTACCTGTCACTAGCATAGGAACCAAGTAACTCTACCGCTAAGGCTTAGAAAGATCGGAATAGGTCACCTACCTTTTCTAGCTGGTTTTCTTCTCCTGTTTCCTTTTACGTGCACGTCGGTGAGGCATACACTTGAATGCCATTCTTTTCATGTTATGGATGGAGAATCCATGTGATTAAAATCACAATAAATCACTAAGAAAGCATAGGTATGGTATAGCAAAGCACGCGGTTTTTGTAATTTGTACTACTATTAGGAGGAAGTAATTTAAGTTTCGAACATCATAGCTGAACTTGAATTAACATATTGTGTCACTGAAAATTGAATTAACATATTGCCACTGAAAATTTTATTTTATTTTGTAATAAAAAATCCACAATCCTTTAGCAGGCTTCAAATATTAGCGGCATGCGACGATAGAGTTCAGTTAGTATTTGTCCAATCAGGCCTTATGATGAAACCTACATATTTGGAGCCTATTTTCGTACGGAAGAATACGTCGTAAGTCGATTGATGTAAGCTCAGAAATGAGATCATTGAAAAGTTTATAAAGTAAGTTAATCATGGTACCGTGGAGGTTACAAATATTTAAGATCACAAATGCCAAGTATCAAGAGGGTTGGAAGGCTTAGAAGCTAAACGAATTGAGGAAAATAAGTTTCGTCGAAAGTCGACAAGTTGGGAATGTTATAACATGTAATTTTGGGGTGATACTCGGGTTCTTAACATTATAAGAAGGTTACTTTATGAGTTATTTTAGTCGTATGATAGTCGTCTGCTATGTTTTGAAATCAAGCGAGTTGTGGAACAAAAGTTGGCAAAGGTCATCACAACTTACATTCATAAATGTGCTGAAAATTAGGTCAAATGTAGCTGAGCTTTTCTACCAATATACATGGAGTTACGGGATGATCCACATATCAAATTGACGATCTACGAGTTTAGTTTATAACACATTAAACCGTTTGTCGGTATGACATCGAAGTAGAGAGATATTTTCCGTTTCGCGAGACTGCGCAGGCTGCATAGGTGACAAGTAGGTGTGTCACTGAAGCTTTTTCAGCAATACATTTTGTGTGTTATATGAGATCTTTTTGGGACATATTATATACCAAATTGAAGGTCTTGGAATGTAGTTTCTAACGCTCTTAACCGTTTGTTCATACGACATCAGGATAAAAAGATATAAGCATCAGAAGAAAGGGCCAGTGCTAGGGTGCCAAGCTAGCACCTCTTTGACTTTTCAAAAGTTAATATATATATATATATATATATATATATATATATATATATATATATATATATATATAGGTTTTAAATCGTCTTTCTCTTCATTTTTTATAGAACACGGCCAGAGAATCCCAATAAACTTACCATAATCTCTCTACAAGGGTTCCAAAGAAGATTAACATCTCGGGTACGAAATCAAGAAGCGATAATATTAGAACAATCCCTACGACGCAAGTATCGCTATATCGCCTCTCTTTTTCTTTGTAGTTTGAGTTTTGGAAGGTAGTTCAAAGTTAATAAAATGCCTACTTTCTATATTTAATCTTTCAAATATCAAGGAAGGTTGATAAATTCATTTCCTAATAGTTAGAACTCACGGGACGGTGATCGAAAGTCGTGAGTTTGATTTATTTCACTTTTAGTGGACTGTTTTGTAGTCCACTCGTGTTGGCCTATTGTGCTTCTGATTTATGGAGTTTGAAATGATAAAGGGCGTGGAGAAACACCACATGTGGTAGGGTAGTGGGTTGGTCACTCGTCGTTGCAATTTCAGGCTAATTAATAACTTGTTGATTGGGTGTGTTATGGTATGTCTGGGTTTTTTGTTGTATTAAAAATCCCGAATTGTAGTTAGGTTATTTTTGAGTTGCTGGTTGTATTGTGTTGTTGTCTCGTCTATAGTAGTCTTGAGGTAGCAGTAAAATCAGGGGAAATGCTGCCCGTTTTATTTTAGAATCGAGTTATCGTTTGAGATATGTGATATACTCGCGCCATCTAAGTTGTACATGTATTTCTTTGTTATAGGGTTGGTGCGCTAGTTGTCGTAAGCTTGTTGTTGAGTTGCATTGACGACTTGAGGTATGTTAAGGCCTAACCTTTTCTTCATTTTGGCATGATCCCGTAACTACATGCATTTGATAACGAGACGTAATGAGAAGTTCGTATTCCTAACTTATGTACATTATCCTAGTCTTATAAGTTATTGTATTCTCCCTTATCGGGACTTCATATTCAGTTTTGTATTGTCTTCTTTAAACCAAGAGACCAGAGAGTCTATGTACATACAGTATTACAGTATTTTCACCACCACCGAGCTATAATCGATGGGTAGGTCCCTATTGGGCAACCTTCGATCAGATGGTAAGTTATATACCGAGCCTACTGTGGTCGAGCATCTATGAGCGAGCCCAGAATGGCCGAGATACATAGTCTAGTATGGCCCGAGTGCCTATGAGTGAGCCTACTACGGAAACTCAGTTACACATATCAAGCGTTATAGGGCCGGACAACTATTTTACTTACTATATTGAGAGATATGAGTTAGTATCAGCAGGTAAGCATATCTTCAAATTATAGTTGACTCCCAGGTACTTTCAGTTATTATATTATCAGTTCAGTTTTAGCTTTCAGTTATTATGTTTCCTTACATACTTAGTACATTATTTCGTACTGACATCCCTTTTGCTGGGGACACTGCATTTCATGCCTGCAGGTCTTGATAGACAACTGGATAGATCTTCCCAGTAGAGAAAGTCAAACTCAGCTTGGTTGGTAAGCTCCACTTCCTTGGATTTACCAGGTCTATACCTTGGAGTCCATTTTATATATACAGGTGTGATGGGTAGGTCGAGGCCTTGTCCCGACATGATACAGCTCAGTTATCCCTAGAGGCTTGTAGACGAGTCTTGTACATTTTTTATATCAGTATTGTGGCTTTACCAGCCCTATGTAGATGTTTAGTTTGGGATTTCTGGTTGTAGACGTTATTTTCAGATAATTCAGAATATGGCCTCATCGGCCTAAGTTGAGGGTTACCCCTCCAGAGTTCACAGTTACAGAGTGGTACGCTCGGGACGAGTATGGCACCGGGTGCCGGCCACGCCTGTTCAGGTTTGGGGCGTGACAATTTTATTGCTTCTGGTTCAATGTTGCAGCTATAGGTCCACTAGATGGGATTATTGAAGTTGAAATCGTGCGAGTGTAGGTTGTGGTTTTTAATCCCGTGAGCTGGGAGTTTTCCACGTAAATTACTGATGTGTCATTTACATACTGCTCTGTGTGTGTTATGTGGGAACTGATAGAGAATCAGGTTCTCTATACAGTTTGGTGGACTCTTAGTTTACATCAATTGGTATCAAAGAAGGTTCTTTCTATAAGGCTAATACCTAGAAACGATCCACATGGGTGCTCCACCAAATTTTGAAG